TATATATAAGTTTTGCCCATAGTAGCCAGGTTGTGTGGGTGGGAGAAACAGTGTCTATCCAGCACGTCAAGATGGCCGTTTTATGATGTTGGCCAGATTATTCCAGAACATTGATGCGGTGAGGCGGAGCTCTGATTGATTAGGGCATCGACTGGAGAAATGTGCTGCGCTCATCCCATAGGAGGGGCTGTGGACGAGGGACAACTCGAGAAAAACACACACGCTCACACTTCAAGACACTCAGGTCAAAGAGAAGGAGATTAATGAAAGGTCAATGTGAGTGTGTGCAAAACGGGCTGGGCTGAAATGTTCATGCTGCAAAAACGTATAGAACAACATAAAAGAGTCTTCTTAAAGGTATACTTCACCCAAGTATGAAAATTAACCATTCGTTCCAAACTTTCTAATTACTTACTTTCTTCTGTGGAAGATTGCTTTTCATGCAATTACTTTCAAACTTTAAAAGCAACACAAAAAAACATTATAAAAGTAGTCTATAGGTCTCACTCTTCTGCCGCCATATGATTGCTTAGTGAATCATTTAAGTGGAAACTCACTGAAAATATTAGGACAACGTTTATGGTGGTTTAGCATTTATTTTGAAGCTTGAAGGTTTTAGTACATATAAGCCCATGTAGTGATGTCTTATTGGTGAATGAATCATTCTTTTGAGTCCAATCTTTTCAATTAATCATTCGAACCATTTAAATGATTCATTCACAAATCACACTGATCTGGACTCAGATCTGGTTCAGTTTTGGTCTGTTCCTCATACAAAGCTATTGTCTAACTTCAGAAGACATGGAATATAGTCAACTTTTATGTTAAATAAGCGTTCGTTTTAAAGTTTTAGTCATTGTTCATTGTAAATAAATGGAAAAGAACGACCAGCCTCAGCTTCAAAATTTGTGTTCCACAGAAGCTAAAATACAGTCATACAGTGAAAAGTGAAGTCTTTAAAATCTCTTTAAAAATGACCGCGTCATAGATTTTAACATCTACCGGTGAACGTCTAAAACCCAGCTTAACTCAAGATCCTAAAGAGAGTGTTTCACAAGACGTCAAAGGATTGTTTAAAAGCTCAGAGATGTATTATTGTGTTATATATTGTCATACACTCTCTCTGAAGCAAGGTCGACCGGCCCATTTGCTCACACCAGTGCAGTGAATACAAAACACACAGCATTTGCTGATGGCTGAATTCTGACATAGAAAAAAACACTTGCTTTAAGACAGAAAAAAAGACAAAAACATCAATTCAATGTCATCCTCGCCACAACTCCAGCCCATCAATCAATACGCACTACCTACATAACCTCCCGTACACGGCCTTGTAGTTTGACTCTCGGGAAAGAAATCTCTATGCTGTGACATGAAAGATTTAGACAATGGAGAGTGAGGTTGCACGCCAATCCGGGTTCTCTCACCATTTAATCTGCCTTTCACACTAAACCAAATCCCCCTGGGAGAAATTGTACCTCAGCACGCAAAAAAAAAATTGACAGACTGGTTGCTTTATTGATAGCAGTCTCCAGCAGTTTAAGAAATTAATACTAATTCACGCCCAAGCTGGGTTTTACACAAGCTAATCGGCCTGATTTCAAAGTGTTTATTATGTATAGAATGGGGTGCGAATTGCAGAACTGACGGATAAAGCTTGGGAATCACATGGTATTGGAGAAATACCGTACACATTGGGGACCGGCAAATTCAAATTCAAGAACTGGCTTCCTTTCAGTCTGAATTTGGTCACAAAACAAAGGAAGTTGATTTGAATTCTGAACTGGAATGCCAGGTAGATGCATTTACTGAAGTATAATGCAAAGAAATCAAACACTGATAATGCATTCTGGGAAATTAAGTGCCATTCCACCCTGGAAAACAAAAGTTAATATGCTAAATATGATGCTATGGTTCAAATATTTGAGGTCTTGATTGGAGATAATTGATAATTAAAGATTTCAGCAGTGCCACAAATTGAAAAAAGTTAAGTATAATTAAATAAAAGTGGCACTTATAATGCTAAAAATTCAGCTTTGCCATCACAGGAATAAATTTACATTTTAAATATATTAAAATGGATAACAGATCTTTTTAATTTAAAAAATATTTCAAAATATTACTGTATTCACTGTATTTTTCATCAAGAAAAAAGTAGCATAACAATCTTACCAACCCTAAACTTTTGAACGGTAGTGTATATAAACTATCTATCTATCTATCTATCTGTATAAATGTTCCTATAATTGTTCAAACTTCAATTTTAAAATAGATTTTTAAACTTTTTTTCCCCAAAGCTGTTCTTTTTCTTTATCATTTCTAGTTAAAAATACAGTTATACGGACTTATTTAAATTCCACTTTTTTACATTCAAATTCAATTCAGATTTAGGAAGCTAAACTGCATTTTCAATTCAGTTACGAATGGTGCACAATCCTAGTACACATAATGTATGTTACATCTCTAGAGCTTTATGTATTAATTAATTTATTGCTGGAGTTAAGTTTATCTTCCTACAAAGGAGATTCTCGATGGAAAAGGACAAAGAGAGACGTGATTTATTATATCTTAAAGAAGTGGCTTTATTTTAACCGTGATTAATCCCTGTTCATGCCCACAGAAGCTCACTTTGTAGAAGCCACCCAAGAGACTCATGGGATATTACCACTATCACACTCGAACAGTAAAATAAACAAGCCCTGAGTTGCGTGCGCTTCCAGAAATTCATCAGTACGCCCCATAAATACTACTGATACTGTATGAAACCCAGATTTCTTTTCGGGCTTGAAAAACAATGGCGTTCATCAATTATAAGACATCGAAGACAACATAACCGTTTTAATAAATCTCAAAAATCTCGTCCGAAGGCAATTCCACAAATCATTTACGATGCGAATCTCAATCTTATTGCTGGACAATAAATGTACCGTATTGGCCCGGCCACCTAGTGTTGTGGGTGTATTATTGACATGTCAAAGTCTAGACCCTGAATATAAGACGACCGCGTTTTTTCAGATGTATTTCCAAGAAAAAAATATTGTCTTATATTCGGGACAATACGGTATTGACATTTGCATTTTATGACCGAACTGAAAAAAAACCCCTCGATAAATGGACGTTCTGTCTTTCCCATGCTGGGCTGAGCGAGTAGAAAAGTTTGGAAGATGTACGGAGTGAGGAATGGAGCGTCTCCGCAGAAACGTGAATCACGCTGCATCATTCACCAACAAACAAATGTCATCTCTCCACCCAACCCGGCAGCTTCATCATGCTAAAGCTCCTGACAGCAAAGGAACATAAAATGAGCGGTCCAATTCGTCTCCCCAAGGCAACATCACTCCATCATTCCTCTACTTCTTTTTCCCCCCCTTCCATCGAGTGCCTGGAAAAGAGTGAAGATAAAACAATCCTTCGTTCACCTCAGGGAATAGGGGCAGGTGCTTGAAGGTGCGAATGCGATGAAGGCTTTCTTTCTATTCGGTTGTTAACAAGACAAACGTTGGTGCTGTTTACGGCAACTTACTCTTCTTACTTCCTGTGTCATTATTTGGTTTGACACTCTGGATCCGGAATAATCTAAATATAGCGTGTTTTCTTATTTAACTTTCATTTGCAACCTCATTTCTCATATTTGTGAACAGATTTGTGCACATAACAGCGCTTTTTAAATACATTTTAAATAGATAGTTCAGCCACAAATTAAAATCATGTCATCATTTACTCAACTTCATGTAGTTCCTGTATGACTTTTGTTCTGTGAAACTAGAAAAATAAATACATTATTATTATTTTTTTTTTTTTTTTTGCCATACAAGGAACGTGTATGGGGTCCAAACAGTGTATGGCCAAAAAACAAACATTTTCCAAAATATACAACAGTTCAAAAGTATGAGGTTGGTAAGATTTTTTTTTTTTTTTCTTTTCTGATTTTGAAACAAGTCTCTTATGCTCACTAAAGCTGCACTTATTTAATTAAAAATACAGTAAAATACAGTAACATTGTTAAATATTATTACAATTGAAAATAATGTTTCTCTTTAAATATACATATATTGAAATTTGATTTATTCCTGTGATGCTAAACCTGAATTTTCATCTGCCATTAGTCCTCTCTGCCTCCAGCACTACAACCCTCATTCTAACCAAATCTAAACTGATAACCATCCGAATAACTGCTAATTTTTATTCTCGCATAATAATTTGTATAAAACTATGACGAATCGAATCATTCCTACAAATGGATGTGTCATGTCACATTGCGACCGAATGAATGAAAGAATGAATGAAAGAAAGATTCGACCGCAAAGATGGAACACTGTGCAGTTGTCAATAGCGCACACATTTATCAAACACGCACGCACGAGCGCACGCGCACGCACACGCACACACACACACACACACAAGAGAGAGATAAAGACAGTGGAAAAAAGCTCACAGCCGGCGAGAGGACGCTTCAGTGGATATGTGTATGCATATATTTTAAACTACTGTTCAAATTACACAAGTGACTTTTAATTACTACAGTTGTATTTTAAGTGCCCTTAGATGTTAAGGACGCAATATCCACTATGATTTTAATGGTAACCAGATGCACTAGGTGTCAAAAAGACGTCAAAGTGTCCAGTGATGCAAATATCAAACCACGAATGACTTACTTTCTCAATCTGTGAGGTTCAAATCGCAGACGTTCCGTTCGCTTCCAAAGCACGAAAATCCATCCGCAATTCTCAAGCAATGACTCGCGATGCGAATGAAATGTTCTTCAGCGTGTACTCTGGGCTATCCAAGCTATCCAAGAGCAGTTTTGCATTCACTAGCTTCTATGAGAAGAAATTCGCTCCTGTATATCCACTCGGTCTTCCTGTCAATGCCATCATATGGACGAGTGCCTCTAGAACAGATATCTCGATGCTTTCTTGCCCCGCACCATCAAATTCCGGTGTATACCAAGTCTTTTTCCTGCTGATAAATCAATTAATTCGTCGTCTCCCTGGTTTTGCGTGTCATTCTTGGCGTTCAACAACACAGATTTGGGGTTTCACATTCAGCCAATACGCATCTAGATGGGTTTTATCCCTGAGATGGACCATTTCCTGCATTTCCTTCTTCATCCCAATCTTCAACAGACCATAAACGCAGACCGCTGATGTTCTTATTCCACAGTCGTGGTTTTTTTGAAGAAAATTAATGGGAAAAATATTTCCTGGGAGAAGAAGAAGAAGAAGAAGAAGAAAAGAAAAAAAACAGGCACTCTCTGTTGTGCTCTATTGCTAGTTGGCATCATTCTAAAAAGCATTTTATTGGACCAGAATTTGGATACACATGCTGAGTGCAAGATTAGCCTTGAATATTTTGGTCTGTTTCCCCAAAAGAGACAGAATGTCAAATTTAAGTGCACATATCCTCTTTTAGAAGCAGATGGCCTCAAAGTGAATAAACTAAAACTCATATTTTGGAAAGAAATGGTTCATCCAAAAATGACAACTTGCTGAAAATGTACTCACCCCTAGGCCATCCAAGATTTAGATGAGTTTGTTTCTTGCAGACCGCTGATGTTCTTATTCCACAGTCGTGGTTTAAAACGGAACTTTTCTTCCTCCTTTACGCACCCGATCTGATTAGATTTCTACTCACAGCCCAGTGCGGATTTCAAGATGCTTATTTCCTTGAAATGTGATTATGTCCTACGGAATGCCTTGAGAGAGGAGCCTCGTGCGTTGGCAACGCAAATATTCGTATATCACATCCTATACAAGACCACCAGGATCATTTGGAAAGGTGGAAAAAAATCATCCAAGTGTCTTTTTTGCCACTTTCAAGGAAAGTGGACGAAAATGCGCCAAAATGTCCCAAATCCCTTTTTTAGTTAAATGACAGATACATATACTAATCACAGTCGTAGTTCCTTTTCAAACGCGTATAAACTTGTCATAGACGAGGTATTTATCAAAAGCTACATCCCACCAGATACTACTCAATACAGTTCAACTCAACTCCGGCAAAAAGCAATCCAGTGACGCGACGAAAATCCAAGCGAATGATGCTGCGCTCCGCGCCAAACCGAAGAATTACGCAACGCGCGAGAGCCGAACGGAGAACGGCTACAAGTGAGTCACCCCGAGAGCAGGAACATCTAAAGAGGTGAGACCCGTCGAATACGTCGAGATCTCGTCGGTGAATGAAGTTCTAGTGTGAAGTATCTAGTGTGGTACCCAATGACGCGCGGCTCTCTGTGGGTATCGGCTCAGCGCGCTTCGCTGGTGACACCAAGAATCTTCTAACACGTATTGATGTAGCCCTCAGCCTAGAGTCTCACTCTTCTGACTGTCCTCACTGGCGTCTTCTTGGATGCGTAAAAGTCAATGGCCCAATAATATTTTTCCATCTTAACAATGATTGGTCGAGTGCAATAACCCTGAACGCTATAGATTATATGACGCGCCTTCGGACAGGTCTGTAGCGCCTGTTTGACGCACACATGTGCGTGTGTGATTGTGTATAGCCTGTGTACTACGTGTGAGGGTTTGATGCTGCTTCTTCCTGTCTAGTGTAGAAGGGACACGACTGCCATCTACCGGCGCTCCGTCCCCTGTCTAGACGCTGAACTCAGCCTTACGACCACCTGAGCCTTTCAAAAAAAAAACCTTGAAGCAAGCATGTATTTTCAAACCACAGATCATAAGCACGTTCTAGTGACCTGCATACGCCTCCGATGGTTATGAAGTCTGTAATATATGCTATACGTTCAGGGGGACTGTGGTAAAACACACAGACCTCGGGTCGCATACATTTCTACAGTAAAGAGGCAGTTTAGAGATGGATGAGACTGCACTGTAAAGAAAGAAAGACAAACAAAAAATGATGAAATTAAATAAAATAAATGAATGCCTTCATATCTGAAGTAAAATCAAAGTGTATCCAAAGTGACAACCTGCATTCTTGACCACTTTAAATAGTGTCAAGCTCTCATAACTCATAAAACAAAAAAAAGTAATTACAGAAATTGTTGTGACAAGTTAAATGGATGGAAACAAATATGTTGTTATAATGACAAAGGAAAAAATATATATTTAAAAAGCTGAGAATAGAAAATATACATGACATAACACTGTAAATGTGAATGGGTGCCGTCAGAATGAGAGTCCAAACAGCTGATAAAAACATCAAAATAATCCATAAGTAATCCACACGAGTCCAGCCCATCAATTAACCTCTTGTAAAACCAAAAGCTGCATGTTTGTAAGAAAAAAAAAATCCATCATTAAGATGTTTTAACTTTAAACTGTTTCATGTAGCCAAAATATGAGTCAAAAGTCCATAAAAACACTTCCTCCAGTGGAAAAACTCCATCCTCTGTTGTCTTCTCGCATCAAAATTTACCAGCATATTTGTTTAGAAAAGTTTAGGATGGTTTTCACTTTTAAATGGTGCTTGATCTATGCGTATTTCTCTCCTGATTCAGACAAAACGACTTTTTCTCTGGATAAAGGAATATTATGGATAAAGGACTCATATTTAGCTGGAAGTAACGGTTTGAAATTGAAACATCTTAACGATGGATTTGTTTCTTATGAATATGCAGCTTTTTACTTCACAAGACAGCAATTGATGGACTGGTGTTGTGTGGATTATTATTGTGATGTTTTTATCAGCTTTTTGGACTCTCATTCTGACGGCACCCATTCATTGCAGAGGATCTACTGGTGAGCAAGTGATGTAATGCTAAATTTCTCCAAATCTGTGCTGATGAAAAAAACTAACTCATCTACATCTTGGATGACCTGATGTACAGTAAATTTTCAGCAAATGTTGGGTGAACTGTTCCTTTAAGCCTTATTTTCAAACAGTGGTCTTCTCTTTGACTGAGTAAATCCTGATTTGCATGTCAAAAAAGACTGACTTCCAAACTTTTGAGTGAAATTTCACGAACCGTTTTCTCATTCCTTTAGCGGAATATGCTTGTCAGCATCTCGTCACATCCTCGCGCTTCACGGGCATCTCGTCATTTATCTGTCCGCACGCCCGTCCACCTGCCCATCAAGCGCAGCCAAATCAGCTAAATATGGGTGAAGATCAGCTCCTCCTCTCCTGCTGTCTGATTGAGTCATCCTAATTGTTTGACATTAAAGGGCAGGTGTGCTTCTGTGACTGACAGTCCAGTCTTCAGCACAGTCTATTCACACACAAGCTCCAAACAAAGCAAACGCATATGACCCTTAAACACAGGGCCCACTTAACAACAGCTTTCTCAAATGCGTCTCTGAAACATAAATACATTATCTGACAGCTCCGGGTTGACTTATATGCCCACATCATCGTGATGGCGAGGTAGCCTTGTTATGACAGCCTTATCTAATGGTCCAGATTTAAAGCTTTCATTTTACAGCCCTCCGACGATTCTCCTGCGACCACTACGTTTCACTTAGGATGTTATTTGCTTTGTGGGAACCATCTGAATGACCATAACATCTATCTTAATGCAACCATTCATTTCTCTACAGGGACACCAGAGGAAGAGGTGATTGACGGAACATTTCTATAGCGAAGTGCTTTCAATTTACTCCCAAGCAGGTTGAGCTCAAAAGAGAAGACGCTGAATTAAATTAAAGCACAGCATTACCTTGCACTGGCTGTAATGTGGACTGTCAATGCTCGTCCTTTATGTACACGTTAACGCAAAACCTTGGTTATGCTGCATCACGTAACCACATAAAACAAAGGTATGAACATTTTCTGAACAAAACATGAGTGGTTCTGATTGTTTATTTGTTTTTTGTTGCACACATTTTTTTCACACATAGCAAAAGTATTAATATATTCAACAAAACATACTTACTTTTCACTGTCTTATATTAAATAATAGCTACTAAACAACTAAAAATGTGGTACTGTATTAAACTCATTCATTTGACTTACAAAATACTACAAAATTCACAATGGGCATTTTTACCTACACATTGTCAGATGAACAACTAGCCCACAAATACAGTACACTGATTCACTTAGCTTGTGTTTGATTCGCTAAAACGAACAGACTACCAGGAAAAAACAGTTTTGTGTATTTAGTATTTTGTCATGTGATTACATTGTTTAGAGCATAAGAAAAATTTTGAAAATATATATATTTTTTTAAATGACATTTTATTCATATGTTATGCCATGTCCTCTGTAGAGAACATCGGGACTTTAAAAAGTCCTGTTTTTAAAAAAATAAATAAAAAGACATGAATAGACATGAAAAGGCAAAAAGAGTGGGATTTTTGTTTTAACCAGAAATCAATTTTCATTTTTTTTTATACCAAACTTTATATAAAGATGGATTTATGACAAACAATTTGTCAATTCGTCAGATATTTCCATTAGGGTGTTACATTTGATCACTAAATTAATGTCAGCCATTTTTAAAGACCAAAGAGAGGGAGTGGTCATGGTGAAACATCCAATCATTTGGTATCTCTGGAAAGCCCTGAATGTGCTCTGTACAGGACATCCAGATTGTGAAACTGTGAATTGATTAAGACTGTGATATGTAACATCTCAGAGAAATCGCTAACACATAATGTCCTCTACAGTGGACAAAACTCCATAGCTGGTAGTCAGGAGGATATGAATCATTCACTCTGGAATCGATCGGATTACACTGTTCATGCTGTATGTGTTTGATTCACTTATAAGAATTGATTCATAAAAGTTATTTGTTCAGGAACACGATCTAATTATTAAAATAAAATAAATAGATATTAAACAATTGCTTCTAAACAAATAAAAATGTTATAAGGTATTAAATTAGCCAATTTAACATTTATGTAAAATACTATAAAACAATATTTTTAATTACGCATTGTCAAATGAATAACTAGTCAACATTTACTTAGCTCATGTTTGGTTCACTAAAAAGAACAGGCTTATAAGAATCATACAATTGTATGTGTTTGATTGACAATAATATTCAGAATAAGAGTCTTTTGTACACGAATCGGGCTACACTGGCCTTGCTGTTTGTGTTTGAGTCATTAAAAAAACTGATTCATAAGAGTCATTCATTCAGGAATTGGACTACACCGATTGTGCTGTTTGTGTTGGAGTCATTAAAAAAACTGATTCATAAGAGTCATTCATTCAGGAATTGTACTACACTGATTGTGCTGTTTGTGTTGGAATC